TATATATATATATATATATATATATATATATATATATATATATATATATATATATATATATATATAATCATAATGATGATATACTAGTAAATGATTATACAAACGGATACGTATGTCGTATTTCGTAATCAATTTACCAGGTTTGATCTACACGCCCAGTCTCAACATTCAACAATTTGTATTTCAACTTACAACAGCTACATTGACATAGAGGTACAGGGTTAACCGTCTAGTAGCAAATGTTTGAAAGACAGTTACCTACTAACCTGGCACTGTTTCCCTTCTTTTAACTAAAGTAACAAATCAATGTATTTACACACGTCAAAACTGAAGCTTGAGTGAGATTTTACTGATTATTCACCGTCAGTCCCGGATCCTAAGGGTAACTTTTCTTTTCGGCTTATCTTGCATGACTACTTCCCTAGGTGGCGCTTTGAATTGCTGCGATGGCTTCGAAAATGGAGGTGGATGCGGCTCCGTCAAATGTTATGGCGTCCTCTAGCTTGTCTGGCAGTGTATCGGTGCAGCTCCACCCACTGGTGATAATGAATATATCCGAACATTGGACGCGAGTCCGGGCTCAGGAAGGAAAGCCTGTAAAGAGTGAGTTACGCCTCGCCTGTGGCTGTGTGTGTTATTGACACTGTCATTGTCATTTATAAGTACACAGACGAAGTAACTTTAATACATACTTACTTTTTACGATGATGCGAACAACATTGTTCTCTGAAAAATTCCAGGTTGTTTGTCATTCGATCGAGAGTTTTATTACTATGTTGTCAACATGTGAGACTTTAATGAAGTAATTAAAAACTAATGAAAGTTTTGAGACAAAATAGAAGTTTCTACAATAATGACAGTGTTATAAAAACAGTAACACCTTAACTAGCTTGGAATTTGGAAAATGTGACATTTGTGAAATTGGAAAATGGGTCCCTCATAATTTTAGAATTGTGTAGTAGTGCTGATATGGGCATTTTTACAATCCTGGGCACTTTTCAGATTTTCCCACATATTGCTAATTAACTAATTACATACATACGNAAAGTACACATTTCAACACAAAAATGACTTCTATTTTTGACCCTTGGTGGGAAAAAAAGGAGCCCAGGATTGTAAAAATGCCCATATACTGTATTCTCTTTCTCATACATGTATTTAAATGTTGTAAAATTATTTGTATATTAGAACAGAGAATTATTAACTTGAGGTGATAAGAGGTAGAGTAAGAAAATGAATCTTCATAAACACATAAAAACTTAGACGTTTCTTTTTTTTAGTTCTCGGAGCATTGATTGGTAAACAGCACAGCCGAAACATCGAAGTGATGAATTCCTTTGAACTGATGTTTGACATCGTAGAGGGAGACACTATAATTGACAGGGAGTACTACACTACTAAAGAAGAACAGTGTAAGTCACTTGATATGTGTAATTTCAGCTAATACTAAATACCTATGGCAACAAAACTTTTATGGTGTTTGCTCCAGTAGTGTGGAACATAAGTTGCCACTTAGGTTGCACCAAATAGTTTCCAAGGATGATTGTAAAAACAACTCAACAATTCTTTTAAAGAAATATTACAGTTGAAGTTATTTTTTGTATAACACTCCTAATGTGAATTTCCTTACAGTGTCTTAACTGTGGGTTTTAGATTTTGTCTTAATATTTTAATGTTTTTGGTTGTAAAATCTTCTGATATTTTACAGGTTTTAGACTTTAAATAAATATTATAATTTTTTGTATAATTATCATTATTAACTTTTGCTAAAACTAGTGTTTATTTAAGAGCTACATTAAAGGCTTAAACTGTTATTGTTGCTTTTACTTTGATTGAATTGTTTTGACTTCATTGGTGAAAAAATAAATACACCATAGAATTGTTGACTGTTTACATATTTAAGTTAATCTTAAGTTTGCTGCATGAAAAAATGTATATAATAATATGTTAAAAGACACTACATCTATGACCTGCTTCTGGTGTGGACCGAGGGACATAATGTTTTTTTTATGCCTTGCCTAACTCAATGCACTAGTATACTTAGTAATCTTACTTCTAAATCATATGTATTATATTAAAATTATACTTTACATTTTCTACTTTCAGTTAAGCAAGTTTTTAGTGACATGGACTTCCTGGGTTGGTATACAACTGGAGAGATGCCAGACGAATCAGACATCACAGTACACAGACAGGTAAGAGATACTGGAGAGATGTATGGGGTGGGGGTGTGGTAAGGTAACCTCTGTCATCACAGTACACAGACAGGTAAGAGATACTGGAGAGATGTATGGGGGTGGCCGTGGGGGTGGGGGTGTGGGTAAGTTTACCTCTGTCATCACAGTACACAGACAGGTAAGAGATGCTGGAGAGATGTATGGGGTGGGGGTGGGGGTGTGGGTAAGTTAACCTCTGTCATCACAGTACACAGACAGGTAAGAGATACTGGAAAGATGTATGGGGGTGTGGGTAAGTTAACCTCTGTCATCACAGTACACAGACAGGTAAGAGATACTGGAGAGATGTATGGGGTGGAGGGGGTGGGGTGGGGGATGTCGGTGCCTTGTTGATAATTAATTTGCAATTAAATTTTATATGTTACACTTGAAATGCTTACATTGTTATTAATTTTAAAAGAATTTAATTTGAGGACATATAAGTACATTCTAATTTTAAAAAAATTAACAAATTCGAGAGCCACTCACAAGAGGACTGCACTGTACATGGTACTTAAATTAAAAAATGCAATAAATGAATACTAAAAAATTCACTATTTTTCACAGGTTTGTGATATCAATGAAAGTCCAATTTTCCTGAAGTTGAGTCCAGTATCAAGACAAGCTGATGTGAGTTTTAACTTATGAAATTTTAATTTTAATATCATTCTTGAAATATTTTGATATTTATGGGTATTGGTATTGGACATTGAATACTTTTTATCTGATTTTGCAGTAGATCTTATATAACACATTTTAATAATTAAACCTTTGTGCTCATGTTTTAATACACATAAGTAAAGTTAAGCTCCTTTTTATAGTGTAAATTAAATTTAAACTCATAAATTGATCGGATGATATGCTAGTACTTGATTTTGAAGGAACAAAGTCTGTTGGGTATCTTTCATTTATTGATGAATAAGTAATTGGATAAATTGCCAAATCTGCCAGGATGGCTTTAAAGAGGGGGGATAGGAAGGGGGGGGGGGAGAGGAAAAAGAAAAAAAATGTTAGTTTATCAACAATTTTTGAATGCTTAACAAATTTTATAATATAATTATGCTTTAGAATACATGTAGTTTCTTTGACTTTGAGCTTGATGTCATTTGTAGCTGAGTTGAACAAGTATAGGGTATTACTTGTTTGAGAAATTGTGGTGAGGTGTTTTTTCCTCATTCAGAAGTTGTACAGATAGAACTAACTCCTTGACATTGTTTTATTCCCAGCAGCTTCCAGTCAGTGTGTATGAGTCTGTAATTGACCTGGTCAATGGGGTGGTGAGTACAGCACCTTCTTTATTGATTAGTTACAGCTACGTAGTCAGATTTTGAATTATAATTATCATAGAAGTTTATGGTTTTTGCGTCAGTCTCATAATTGTTGAATTTCACTTTTGATGGCAAAAGGGTAAAATTAAGAACTAGAAAACATGATTGTAGATCATATTTTTCAAGTGTTTTGGATGTAATAGGGTGCATATTGAAGATAAAGGAATAATTTGCTTGGATTTCCAGAAAAATGCTCTTGAAGCTACATTATTGTCTTATTTGTGTCTTATGATTACGTTTATAATAACAGTTGAATTAAGTTTATCACTTTGTCAAACTGTCGTATGATATTATATTTAGTTTTTTTCCTAGACACCTTCCTCCCTCTTATTTGACTTCATCTATACACCTATACAAACCTAGACAGCTTGCCTTTAGTTTTTTAAACTCCTGTACAGTATGGGAAAACCGTGTCTTTAGTTACTTATGCTCCTATTCAGACTTAGAAGAACTTGCTTCAGATTTGTTCTCAGTCTCGTGTAAATTCCAGGCCACCATGTTGTTTGTGGAGCTCCAGTACACACTGGCCACAGAAGAGGCCGAGAGGATAGGGGTGGACCACGTGGCCAGAGTGTCCAGTTCAGAAAGTGCTGAGAACTCACTAGGTCAGTGGTCAGTGTGTCCTCACACTGAGACACCAATCTGTGGTCCCACTTGTGACTCAGTTGGCGTTATGAAATATTTTCTTATGAAAGAGTATAACTGAAAATGGGGAGGTTGATACATGTCTAGATAATATGAACAGGGAGTACTAGTAACTGTATACCTTCATATAGAGATGCAATTAATGTCACAGGCATGCTCTTTAAAATATTTAGTGCACAGATTGCAAACCTATATAATATAGGTTTGCACAGATTGCAAACCTGTATTATATACATTAAATATTATTTTATGTGTATTGTAAAAGGGACACATTGCAAAATTATATATTTACGCTATATACTGTATTGCTGTAATAAAAAAAAAAAAACTAATAGTTTGTGTTTTATTTTCAGTACTGTATAAGCATTTTGATGTGACAAACGTGTATTTTACTGCATAATAAAATTGTTGCTGTTTTTTTTTCAGTCTCAGAACATCTTACAGCTCAACACAATGCTATCAAGATGTTACACGGAAGGGTGAAGGTCATCTTGGACTACCTCAAGGCAGTGCAAGCAGGTAGATATTACATTTGAGTGCCATACTGAAAGGTTTGAGAAATTTTAGGGCGTGTTCTTAAAACATCATATTATTATGCTGAAATCTGCAGTTACTTTAAATATAATAACCACACAACAACTATTTTAATAGTTCAGAAACTGCTTGTTTTTTTCTTTTTGGCTTCTTTATGTTATTTGTTTCTAGGTGAAGTGCCAAAAAATCATGAGATACTCCGAGAGACGTACAGCTTATGCCACAGGTTGCCAGTGTTAAGATCTGAAAAGTTCAAAGAGGATTTCTTCAATGTAAGAATATTTTAGAAATTCCTAATGCAGACTTCTAAACCACACTTGTCAGTAAGATTTCTGAACTCAATAAACAGCCCCACACAGGTCGCTTTTTTTTTAAATTTGGACAATTTTTTCATACTTCTATATAACCTCTATTTTTGTTGCATAGAAAATTTGCCTGCACACACACAAAAAGGATTGAAGCTTTGTGAGGCAATGTTTGAAAAAGAAAATATGTAAGATCAATTATTTAAATAGGCTGAAAATGTAACCATGAAAAATATCTACAGTAAAAAATGGTAAACAAGTAACAGCACAAACAGACCAGATGCTAAAAGTAATATTTCTTTTTTCTCTTTATTAGAATTGTTAGTTAAAAGTCCATGTCCACTGAGAACACATGGAGGTCATATTTTGCTCCTTGTTTTCACTTTTAGATTCTATTTCTTTTTAATTTTCTATTCCAGCAATGTAATGATGTTAGCCTAATGACATACCTAGGGACTCTTACCAAGGGATGCAATACAATTAATCAGGTAGGTTTATAATATGTAATATATTTTTTAAAATTTTAAATTCATGTTTCAGACTGGCCACATATTACCATAGAAAACTTTTAAACTTTTCTTCTTAACTTTGGTAAAGTATGGAGAGTTATTTCTATGGAACAGAGCTAATTGTTTATAAAATCAAAAGTGATTTAACAGTCTGCGAAATAAGCGGTTGTCCGATTGCCCGGGACAACTAAAAAGCACGTCGGGCAACTTAAAATTACGAAGTTGTTGTCCGGTCGGGCAACTGAATAATTTATGGACATAAAGAGCATATCTATGTCAAAATCTACACAGAAAACCAAATTTTAGGTTAACCTAAATCGTTATGTTTTCCACAAGATTCACTGTCGCAGTAACCGACCTGCTGACTTCGCCGTGTTTGTGCAGAATCTCTGTTGCTATTATTAGATCTACAGTTATTTATAGCACTGCCAGTAAGGCAGGAAGATGACGTAATGCCTGGGGAGGGGGTGGGGGGGTGGGGTGGTGTCATGTTTGCCGCTTTTTCATTGGTCGAAATGAAACAATGGCGGACATTACTTCAAAATTATGGCACTTCTATCTACCGCGTGTTTCTCTATCCAACTTTCGTCATGGAGAAGTTTCTGAAATATTTTGACGGTGCAAACCCCGGATAAAGGTTACCCTAACAAACAGCTGAGCCAGAAATGTCAAAGAAAAAGAAATTATACGAAGTTAAACAGATATACGCCGAAGAGGATTTCTACGGTCACGGCGCACTTGGCTTGTTTTTGACAGTATAGCTCAGCGTGCAAAGCATGCTGTCAAGGAGATTCTTCACCTTTCGTTCAATGCAAAACCTCACTACAGTAAGATGGCATTAAGAAGCACAAGTCCTCAGCACAAGTCAAAGCGACGGTGCGAGTGCTGCTAATCAAAGTGTCGCGGCGGACTGCTTGCATCGGCTGCAGAAGGCAGAATCTAGGAGTTTTAATGAGAAAATGTAAGTTTCAATTTTTTGATTTTTTTAAAATTTGTACTTGTTCTTGTTTTCTGCGTTTAAGTATTTTAACTTCTTTTTAATAAAAGATAAAATTGAAATTCTGATGACGATTGATTTGTTTTTAGACAAGCACTTTTTCTAGAAAGAGAAGAATTAGTCTTCCATTTTTTTTTTTTTTTCATTTTTATGGTACGTTATGATATTTTGTATTGAATTATTTACTTGTCTTTTCTAGCAGGAGGTAGTTACAGATTCTTTGGTTTCTTCAATGGGGAATGATGAAGATGAATTTGATGAAGTAGATGAGATCTATGAAGATGGAAGAAAACACAGTGTTTTTATTTATTTATTTATTTTTTTTTGTCCTTCAGAGACTAGTCTGAACCAGACATTTCATTATGTTTAAAACGGTGACATATTCCTTTTTATATGCAGACACTCTATATTCTGATCACCCTGTCTGTCCATGCTGTCCAACATGTCTTGTACTTCCTATATCATTATTACAATGGTGAAGATGAATGTGATGAAGTAAATGAGATGGAGATGGCAGAAAATGCAGCATTTTAATTGTTTATTAAGATAATTGTATATATAATAAATTAATGTGTCCACATTTGAAACTAAGTTAATAGACTATGAGGCAGAGAAATGGAGAATGCTATTACACTTAGCTAGCAGTAAATATATTGAAAAATATTCTTCATTTATGATTTTGGCTTGTCTTCAAATCTTGACCTGGAATGCCTTCTTTTACTAGAAAATATTTTAGTGTTTGTACAATATGTATGATGATGTATAGATGTTCTTAAAATAATTGTTTGTGGGAAGGAAGACGTAACCAAATGCTGCATTGTTGCTGTTGAGGTTCTTTAACATTAAACTGCTCATCATCTGTTTATTTGCATAAGTTAATCTGTTTAAAGCTACACAGCGCATGTTAGCCTTCACCCCGCTGAAATAAAAAGGGATCTTGGAAGTTTTGTGTTATTTTTCTTCGATTTATTTGGGCAACCAAAAGTGGATGGGGGCAACCAAAAAAATTAAAATGGTTGTCCGATGGGACAACCACTCTAAAAAGCTTATTTCACAGACTGTTAGTTAAGTAATGAGACTGTTAACATGCCTAATAATTGAATCTGAGGAAATGTGAAAAACAGTATAACTTCTAAAATAATGGCCTGATTATGCTGATTTTCGAACTCAACCTGCGTTTTAGTAAGATTGACCACTTGAAAAAACAGCATAAATTCCCTAAAAGTGACCCGATCATGCTGATTTTTGAACTTGACCTGCGTATTATGAATATTCATCAGTTCTGTAAGTTTCAAGTCAAAAGGTAAAATGGTTTTCCACTTATCGTGTTATCGGTGCTGCATATATGCTGAAAAAAGTGAAAAAACAGCATAAATTCCCTAAAAGTGACCCGATCATGCTGATTTTCGAACTTGACCTGCGTATTATGAATATTCATCAGTTCTG